AATATTATTATTAAATTTATTATATTATAATATAATAATAATAATATTTATATATTAATTTATAAAAATATTAATATTATATTAATTATATTAAAATATTAAATTAATTAAAATTATATTAAAATAATAATATATAAATATATAAATATTATTTATTTATATATTATTAATAATATATAATATATCATATATTATTTTATATATAGATTATTTAATATTTTTATTTTTAACACACAATATATTGGATATTGATAATTGTATAGAAACTTTTGGTTTACCAATATTGCAATAAAACTTTGCTTATTTGTTCAGATATTTAAAAAATAACAAAACGATATATATACCAAAGTATAATATTTCATTTAGAAGTATTTTAATGACCTAAGAAAAGTGAAGTAATAAATAGCACAAAAAATCCAATTAATATAAACCAATCAATGAAAATAATTGATATGAAGTGAATTATTTCTTTTGAACTTACCAGCGGCCATTTCTTCAAACTATCCCTCGTCGTATTACTTTTTCTAATCGAATAGAGACTTCCTTTTCCACCACACACACACACACACAGAGAAGAGTCTACTTCCGTTTTTGTCCTTTCTGACACCTTTTTGTATCCACGTGTCCAAGATGCTTTGCTCCTAATTGGCTCTGGTATCTTACTTGAGAAATGTAGGTGGTGGAGGGTGGTTAGAACGTTTAAACGAATGAAACGTGAGACTCGTCGTCGATCGATTAATTCTCGTGAAATAAAGTATCATTCTTTTTGATGTTCTCTCACTCTAGAAAGTTTTGTCTCTTTGTGTAACTTTGTCCTTGATCTTCGAATCGTACACCTACGATCTTTGAACTTTTACCGCCCGTTGTTCGGCTTTTTAAATGCCGCCACTGCGTACCTTTTTCTTCTTTCTTCGTCTCAACTTTCTTTCTTTCTCTTTTCTTTTCTTTTCTTTTCTTCCTTTTGTTTTTATTTTTCCTGACTTTTCAACGTTATCTATATAAAGTTAAGAAGGACAATTATAAACTTTAATTTGCTCTTATCTCGTTTGATATTTTCTAAAAGTTATTTTTTCTTTTTTTTTTCTTTTGAATTTTTTGTTTTCTTTCTTTTTGTGTTTTCTGCGTAGGATTAATTTCAATCTTGTATTAAAATTGTTTTTGGTCTAATTTCATTTTATCGTTTGATCATCAAAGCGTATTGTAAAAATATTTTTATAAATAATATCACGAATGTTTTTCTTTTCGCGGATCAATTTAAAAATGATATATTTGATTCTAATAAAAAAAAGATATATATATATATATATATATATATATATATATATTTATTATTCATATATTATTTATTTATAATATATATTTGTTAATATAATTAATATAATATAATATAATATTATATANCGACTTAAAGTTTTGACGTTTTTTACTTATTTTTATTTTTTTTTTTGTGATGCCATTTATTTAAACGAGAAAATATTAAAAAATAAAATTAATATTAATATAAATATAATATTAATTAATATTATTAATATTATTAATATTATTAATATTATTAATATATATTTATTATCTATGTATATTACTTATTTATTATGTATATTTATTTATCCGTATATTATTTATTTATTATATATATTTATTATCAGTATATCATTTATTTATTTATATATATTTATTATCCGTATATCATTTATTTATTTATATATATTTATTTATTATCTGTCCGAGACGCGTGTGTGTTTTGGCAAATTTCAGAATTTTCTTTCTTCCTTTTTTTTTTTCCTGACAAATTTTTATTGCCATACAAAAATAAAAAATTTATTTCTTTTTTTTCTATCTATCTAAAAATTACTTGCTCGGTTTTTATTTCTTTTTTTTTTTTTATTTATATATATATTCCAACGTTTTATTGTTTTGACAGATGTCCATATTTTTCTTTATTTTTTTCTTTCTCTCTCTCTCTCTCTCTTTTCTTCTTCTTTTTTATTCGAACGTTAAATTTTTATTTTCAACTAAACAAAAAACAAAACAAAAATATTCTAATGAAAGTTTGTATTCTTCTCGATAAGTTTTAAATAATAAATAACTGTTTATAATTAAATTTATAGATATTACATAACTTTATAGGAATAATTATATTTAAGTAAATAATTTATAAATAATAAATAATAATGCAAAAGGAAATAATGCAAATTACACATATGCATATCATCATATAAAATGTAATTGTGCAATTACAGTAAAACATGGCGTTATAGAAGATTAACGTAACCTCAAATGATTTTAAAAAGCTTTTTCAATCTAAAATAATTCAATTTAATGTATATTAATAATTACAACAATAAATTAAAGTTATATTAACAAATACAAATCGATTCTATCAAAATACTATTTAATATATTTTTGTTTTAATGCAAAATTTTGCAATTTTGATATTAGAATTGAAAGAACAAACAAAATGTTTTAAAAATAATAAATATATATATATATATATAT